CCCCAAAACCCCAAAACCCCAAAACCCCAAAACCCCACGATTTTTTACAAAAGTTGAAATACAGAATTAACAAAGGCTTGGGAAGGGTTAAGAACCTCTCAAGGTTATTTGTGGCTTAATGAAACTTGTTCAATGGAGAATTGGGGGTTAAAATTAGTAAGGATATCTCTTGCTACTCAGAAGAACAGCAGGGCCTCGACTAGTTGATAATTTTCTATGAAAGGATTCCCCTCTCTTTGGCTGAATACTTCAAGGATGACCTGTTTCACCTTCAAGAAATTGAAATTCATCATCTGCATCATCTTCAGAGTCATAAGAGTATTTACTTCGTGATTCAGAAAGGTTATTATCAATATTCTCTTTATTTGAGTTGAATTCAAGATAACTGAAATACTTGTTTGGATATAATAGAAAGAGCAATCCTATTGGCACAAAAGCACCTGATTGGATATAAAAAGAGACTCTCCAGGACATACTCAACATTCAGATACTTGTGATACTATATCCAACCACAACTCCTAAAGGAACAGCTAGTTGGGAGAGAGTTAACCAGATAGTTTTCCGACTTTTAGGCGCAAAAATATCGATCCAAATTGGGACAAACACTCATGTAAATGTTTGGCAAACTCCTACGAGAGCTCGTGATAATCACAGCACCCAAAATTTTTGTGAGAGAGGGAATAAAATCAATGACACTGCATTAAGGATCAGAGATGCAGATAGAACATACTTTGGGTTAAATATTTTATAAATCTGTGCTGTAAATAAAGCTCCAAAAGTGATTCCAGCGTATACTAGAGACCCTAAAATTCCCATATTTGCATTATCAATATCAAGTTCCGTTTTAATATGAGTTACAGCGGCTGGAATAGTGCCATGGTCAAAATTGATGAGTATGTTCGTACAAAATGCATGTATGAATATGATCGTAAGGAGTCATTTGTTGATACCGCCATCCCTCCCATATCTCTTGAATTCAGTCAGATCGGCTTCTCTGTTCTGGTCATAACAGTCTTTCCCGTCGTCAGAGTCGAGGATCTGATGATAGTCGTCCATCCTGGTTTATATTTTTCAAAATATATAATCTCAAAGGGGTTTTGGGGTTTTGGGGTTTTGGGGTTTTGGGG